AATTAATTTATTTTGGTGAATATTTTTGTAATTTTTGGTAAAAAGTGATATTTTCGACTTCTTGTTAAAAACTGTAAGTCCGATTGCTTTGATACTATTCATATTGTTCATTTTCTAATGATGTCTTCAGTTCTTTAATTGAAATGTGCATTGCTAACAGCAGAGCTATCTCAGCCGATAGGCTGCTTGTTATCATTTATTTGCTGGTAGCTTTGTAAAATGTTGATAATCACACAGATAAAATAATATGTATGTAATAAAAAAAGGTTGTAAAACAAATTTTCAATTTTGTTGCAGGTGTTGAATTATTTCACTTCTAAGCTAGAGCAGCATGGTACAAGTAATCTCTCGGTTCATCAGGTTTTAGATGTTATCAAGCAAGCTATATTGCAGTGGCCAAGAGACAGGCTTAAGGTAAACTATGCAGGGTTTGTGTTGCATCAGGGTTAAACTATACTATCAAGAGTTCACACATGCACATGTCGAGTGATGGCTGATTAGTTGCCACGGCACCTTTAAAGGGGCACTTCCAAATTAGTTAAATCTCACAACAAATTTACTTTCTGGATTAAAATTACAATGGATAACAAAAGATAGATTAACTTTGTAAACAACATAAACAATAGTGTCCCATGACCGGTCACTGGTAGCATAGTGCTTGTCGCATCAGACTCATGATCGGTAGACCCGAGTTCAAATCCTACCTTAGGCTTGACCCCTATCCTGAGTGAGTGTGCCACACACTCAATGGGAAGGCCAATTCCACTGGCCGAGATTCATTCACTAACGAATGCGACTTTGGGGGGGAACCTTGGTTAAGCTCCGCAGGTGCTTGTGTTCGACCGGGCCTGGTTGACGCCGGGATAGCGCATTAAAATTGCCATTTTGATAGGGAGATGGCCACACAACAATAGCGTCCCATGATTCTTTGGTGCAGTCCATGGGATTGAGCGGTTCCTCTTTAAACATAACATTTTTACAGAGACTGGTACTTGATTGATTGATTGATTGATTGATTGATTGATTGATTGATTGAATTAAAGAAGTTGTTAAAGATAGACTTTTTCTGCTACTGTATTTGCTCTATTAAAGGTGCATGTTAGCCAAAACATGTTTGTGGTGCGATTACACAACACCTGTTGACGCTGTATTTCACATTCATTCTAGTTGTTTGTGAAGGCTTTCAGCAGGTCATATTAAACTCTGGGACTTAAGGTTTAGTCTCTGTGTGTGCATCCATGCATTTATCTCGGATACCCCTTGACCAATTTCTTTTCAAACCTCACACATACTTAATGCCTTATCTGATACATGCGCATGTGGGGTGATAGCTGATTAGAGGCCATTTAAGTTGTAAAAATGCACCAAATGTTAAGGTATTGGTTATGGTACATACATTGTTGTAGATTTGAATAAATTTAAAAAATTTTAAATGAAATGTTATTTTTCCCATTATACAAAATGATAATTCTAATGTGTCAACTATGTTCTGTATGCACAGCAGATGACAATTTGGTGCGAACTTGCTTAAAAGCAAAACTATTAAATATATGCATTGGTCACCCACTTTATAACAAACAACATTATTCTATATTTCAACATTAAATACACAACTCGAACTATACATTGCATAATGCTTGTTGATTTTGTCACTGATTTGTTTTTCATTTGTCTCCAGAAATTTCCTGAGTTGAAGTTCAAGTATGTGGAAGAAGATCAACCTGAAGAGTTCTTTATTCCTTACGTCTGGTCTTTAGTGTTTCATTCTTCCAATCTCTATTGGAATAGCGACAAAATAGAACTGTTCACTCTCAATTCATAACACAGGCATATCATATCTCAACATGCAAACTTTCAACGCATTTCAGTGCATGAAGCAACGTTTTGTCTTTTCAAATATTATGGATGGTTTGATGTATTAGTTTTTAATTTGGTGCCAGAAGACAACAGACGTGTGCTTTGTACTATGTGAATTCATATGCAGCTTGTGATGATTTTTCTTCTCTTAGTACATACATATAAATAGCTAAGTTGTGGAATGGCATTGGAATTATTATCAAGCAGTATTTCCACAATTAAAAGTGCATGTGCTTATGGAAAAGATTAAAACTAGGCTTGCGGTAAAAGCTTTCTTCCAGAGCACAATCTGATGGCTATTAATTATTTAATATCAAAAACTTGTTTTGGGTGAATTCAAACTGTATACCTAATTTCTCCAGCTTATGTTACTACCGGAAATTAACTAGTAGGTCTAAATTGAATTACACTGAGAAGATGCAACTCACAGTCAAATTAGGATCAACCCCTCGTTGGGTGCCACCTACCCTCCAAGGGTGTGCTTGAAATATAGTGATAGCCTTCTGTGCTTTGAAGCAGGTCCTGTGTGCAGGCATTCAAATAAGTACCTCAGTACTGAAGTAAATAGTTCCTGAGCTTTCTAATATCTTATTCTTGAGTTGTTTTGTGCAATATGTATAGATGTTTACTTTGGGCAGACTTGAAATGCTGTATAGTATGGAATAGAAATTAAGGTGCCAATCCTCCATCATTTACTCGCCAATAATGACCAGAAAATGTGAAACAAATCTATATAAACTCTGTGCCAACCTCTGAAGTAATATTGCACACATTTTCGTCCCAAGATTGTTAGCATTAAACTTGTTTTGGGGAAGCAAATTTGGGCTTTAATTTCAATGTATATGAACAGCAGATGTTATAAATGACTGGTGTAATGTTAGACCTACATTTCATTATTCTTCACTGTTAAAACCCTCTGTACCGGTAGTTATCCCAAATTGCTTCAAACTATTGTACGCTTCGTACACTATCCTAGACACTGCGTGAATCAGTATCACTACGTGATGTTGCATCATCTGATAGCAAAGCGTTTCTGTGTTGTTAAATGGGTGTAAGGGAAGCCATTCACAACGTCAATATTATTTTATTCTGTGGACGTCCATGTATAAAAACTGTTTTTACAAGCATTTGAAATTACTGGCATACATTGTAGTAAGATGTGAAATTTATAATTTCCTAATTAAGCAGCTCAGTGAATCTTGGTTTGGTAGAATTATTCAACCCAACGATGCCAGGGTGTAAAAATTCAGTAATCTTTGGTTTTCATGTATTACTTTTCATTTAGCATGTCGAAGAAACTACTATAGAATAATTTAGTTTTACTTGAAAGTTATTTTCACTCTTTCTGCAGGGTTGAATGAGTGAAAATACTCCTCCCCCTTGTGTTCTGCATATAACTCATCATGAGTCACTGAAATGTATCACAACATGCATTAAAACGAAAAAAAATTTCAGTTGAAATATTCGAAAGTATTTCTTGTTCTTGTGGCTAACAATGTTTTGCAAGCAGCTTTGCTGACTTTCTTTCCCAATATTGCTCAACTGTCTTGTACACCTACATCTTGTAATCTAAAGTTGTGGAATTGTTTATTCTAAACCATTTTAATATTGCATGATGTGCGAATATGTGTCGCTGATGGGGGGGGGGGCTATAAACTGTGGCAATATATTCAATACAACAGCAGGTAACAGTTTTGCAAGTTTATCGACACAAATAGGCAATCAATTAACATTTGTACCAATATGAATTTAATCCTTCATTGTGAAACCAGCACTGTAAATATTTTTTGCATGGGGTTTTTATTTTGAACAGTTGAGTGTTGTACGTTGGTAGATTTATTTGTTCTTGCATGCCAGTTTGTGCATGATAACTGGATTTATATGTATATAACAAATGCTAACTGCTAAATGTTATTCATTAGTTCATTAATATGCATTAGCTCTACAATTTTCATTAGCTGACATATTTGAGCTGATGAATATTCATGAGCTGATTACTGTCCATTGGCTGGATTACTATTAGTAGCTGATAAATATTCATGAGTTGATTAATATTCATGAGCTGATTACTGTCCCATTGGCTGGATTACTATTACTAGCTGATAAATTTTCATGAGCTGATTAATATTCATGAGCTGATTACTGTCCCATTGGCTGGATTACTATTACTAGCTGATGAATATTCATGAGCTGATTACTGTCCCATTTGCTCACTATTATTAGCTGATACATGTTCATGCATACATACATATAGCTGGTAGCTAGTATTAGCTTATAAATATTTATGAGGTGATTACTGTCCATTGGCTCATTATTATTAGTTGATGAATATTCATGAGCTGATTACTGTTCATTGGTTCATTACTATTATTAGTTGATGAATATTTATGAGCTGATTACTGTCCCATTAGCTCATTACTATTAGCTGATACATATTCATACATACATACATATAGCTGGTAGCTAGTATTAGCTTATAAATATTTATGAGATGATTACTGTCCATTGGCTCATTATTATTATTAGTTGATGAATATTCATGAGCTGATTACTGTTCATTGGTTCATTACTATTATTAGCTGATTACTGTTAATTGGCTGATTATTTTTATTAGCTGATAAATATTCATGTGCTTATTACTGTTGGCTGATTATTATTAGCTGATCGATATCTAGATTACTCATTGGCTGATTATTAGCTGATTACTGTTCATTGGCCGATTATTATTAGCTGATAAATATTCATGAGCTGATTACTGCTCATTACTATTAGTTGATTACTGTTCATTGGCTGATTATTATTAGCTGATGAATATTTATGAGTTGATTACTGTTCATTGGCTGATTATTATTAGCTGATGAATATCCATGAGTTGATTACTGTTCATTGGCTGATTATTATTAGCTGATGAATATTTATGAGTTGATTACTGTTCATAGGCTGGTAGTTATTATTAGCTTTATAAATATTCATAAGCTGATGTATATTATTTTCCAGTTTTGTTTTAACTGTGGCTGGAGTCTCCGAGCATTACAAGTGTAATATTTGGGAATGGGGGAGATTTTATACTGTATAGACATGTTTGTTTGCTGTATTTAATTTTATTTGGCATTGTGGATGATTTTCATCTGCGGGAACAAATGTTTTATGTAATAAAGGAGAAATGTATGTAGATGTATATTGGATGATATATAAAGCTTTCATGTTTAATTCGAACAGGCTTAGAAATGCAATATGTGTGTGAAGAGGGTGAATGCAAGTGCATGTGGCCTGTTGTACGAATACGATTTATCACCCATAATTACTGATTTATAAAATTGTTGCCGACTTAGCTACTCTAATAACAGACTGCTTAAACCAATCAGCGAATATTCTGCAGGTGTGTTTGATGATATGGCTAGTATGAATTCGTTTGGTCATGTTTCTTTGTTTCTACACTGATTATGTACTTGGTATTCACATAATTTGTAAAATCTAAAAAGTTTTTGAAAATGGACAAAAGACGGATATCTGAAGGATTACATGGGTAACAGTGTGTGTTACAATTTTATTTGTATGTCAAGTAGATGGGTGGGAGGGAAAACTACATTCAGATGTGTAATTGAACAGTTTTCTTCTGCATATGTGTTTTTGTTTAAACATGTGCATTTTTTTTTCTTAGCCACACGGTGATTAAAATTATTCAAACTATTCAATGAATTTCATTAATTTATTTAGTATTGCCATCCTGACGTGCAGATCATTTTGTAACTCCAATATGGATGTTATTACAGAATACAGGCTGCCTCTCGGCTTCATGTTATAACAGCAACATATTTGATTTGGAAGCACCCAGTTCAGTGCAAAAAGCAATGTTCTACCGCTATTATTTTCGTTGTCATCTGATTTGCATGTGCCTGACTAAAATAATGTTTAAGATGGAAGCCTTTATGTGTGGGGTTTCAATGACTAAAAATGGGCCCTTTTTCAACAAAAAAATCATGTCACTAATCTGAGAATAGAATAAAGCTGCTTGGTTCGAACATTAAGAAGTATTGTGGATAAAGAAGTTTAAATACAGGTGGAGTTGCTATAACGTGAGATCTCTAATAAGAGAATGTATAACATTTTTGTAATTGTGTAGCTTGGTGAATCTGGCGGCTTGCCATTTTGTTCGGGGAGTAAGTAGTGATGCATTAAATTTAAACTGTGTAATGAGAGGTGAAATATCCGCCCTTGCGGAGTTAAACCGTGTACTGCTTACGCCCCTTGGCTATACTGCAGATACGTGCTGTATATTCATGTTTGAGGTGCCGGTAATGGTGCGAGGTGTATTCTCGGTGGCGGACATCCGGGCATTTTCACCGCCTGCCAACCATCACGGTGAAAAACAAAGGCCGAAAACTATCAGAAAACGGTACTTTGGGGTGGTTGTTGAGACTCCCCTGAACAGTGTAACACGATTACCCCTGCGTGTGCAACATGTATAAATTCGGTCACGGGTGTTCAAGATTACTTCAAAGTTGAGTTTGTGTTGTTTTCTCAAATTTAGCTATTTTCACGGCTCCTCGACCGGCGTTTCACAGCAGCGCGCACAGAGCCCATAGAAATACATGGTACAGTGGTGCGCGTCTTAGCAACGTGGAACGTCTTGTGACATAGTCAGGACAGAAATGGGAATGTTTGGTAAAGGGGTTGGGGGATGTTACAATTAATATCAACTTATTTAAACCACGATACTGAGATATGGAAATCTAAAAACACGCACACTCTAGAATAGTACGTCTTGACCAAGCCCGTCTCAGGTTTCCACAAGGAAACAGTTAGGCAGGGAACTGAGACTTTCGAATTTCATGTAAATAAACAATGTATTTTACACGCGTTGTATACGTCGCTATGAGTCCCATATCGAACAGAACGCGGCGTGACGACTGCCGCCCTTTAAATACTCTAGAAGACGAATATCATTTGCTAATGGTTTGTATTTTCTATGTTCACATTAGCTTAACATGCGTCATAAAATACTATTATCTTCATTTGTAAAGTTGACTTTACTTTTGAAAGCAGAATAGTATAATTTTGGGTAATTTAGCAACGTTCATCGTCTCTGAAATTTTCAAAATAGTTTTATACGTTGTGTTGTTTTATAAGTGTACTCCCGAATATTTTTTTATAGTGTGACCGGTATGCTTGTTGTACAGAAGATTGTCTCGTGCGAATGTAATCCAGGCTGTAGAGGGCGCAATTCGGCAAAAGTGGTTTTCTTGTGTTTCACATTTCGTTAAAAGACAGCATTTTGTTTAAAGTGGGATAGTCGTCACCTACGCATGCGTCAGATGGCCATAACGTGTCATTGTTTACAAACAAGCGTCTGCCTTTGCGTTCTTTATTGCGTTCTCTATATCATCGCTTGGGACTCAATTGTCGCGCGTGCGCAGGTGACGACCTAGCCTGACAAGTTGGCGTGAGGGGCGCCCTGGATTGGCTGGGGTTCGTAGCACCACCTACGCCAATTTTTCAGGCTAGTGACGACCCTCCTGCTTTAAATCGCTAATTGTGCGGCTCCACAATGATCGCATAATGTAAAAGCCTAACAATGCGTTCTGTGAAATTGTTCTCAAAATAGTGATTTTTGAAAAATAGGACAAACGCACAAAATGATGCTATTTCAATTATTTTGCATAAAAATCAATGAACATTGTCATGCAAATTATTACCAATTTTCTCAAAAAAATATGAATAGGTTTCTACCATAAAATAAAAATTTGCAGCTATGTATTAATTTGCTTCCATTTATGTATTCACAGGCAGGGATTATTAGGCAGAGCTATACTAAAGAACACAAGAACCTTCCAACTCTTCGATCTTTGATTTTATGCTTAACAGACTTTTCTTAAATATTAAAAGACTTGCTGATTATTGGAAAACGGTATGTGTATCAATCTAATATGAAGAACCACCTATCTGCATTGTGTCAACACAGGTGGCGCTATTCAGCACAGTTGGTTTGCGGCGATCTGCGTGTCAATGACCTATATGTGTTTACAAATTTTGAAGAAATCACCAAACAAACAAACAAACAAACTCGATGTTTTGAAGAGATGGCCCAAATGGGCTAAATTAAAAATGAATTTCTCTATTTACGAACAATTTCATTAGTGTATAGAAACAGCATGAACTGTTTTTGCTACCAGTGATGCTGTGGATTTCATAACAGTAATTTACCATTTGTATAAATAACCCCAAATGACCTTGTATTTTGTTAATTTGTTTTTCTTTTCTTTTCTTTCATTTGTATTTTCTTGTGTATCTTTTTCTGTCGTAAATAATATGTACTATTTGGGTGATAAAAATTGAACAAAAGCTATATAAAAAAAAAACACAATACAAGAATACGACGACAATATTTACCTACAGTAAATCCAATCGACCAAATTTAAAAAGCAATTGGCAGTCATTATGTTGGAATCAACTGTCCCAAGACAGTATACCTAATAAGTATTAACAGATGACAAAAGGTCAATATTTTCATGTGAAAACTAAAAAAGTGAAAAAGGTAGATTAAGAACACGACAATATTAAATTTAATCTGGACAGTCCAATCTTGTTGATATCTTCATTTTAAGGCGTGGGGACCGAAATGTTGAACTTTATTCCGGGGTGGTATATGAATTATAGACTTTGGAATTTCAATAAATATGCTAAGCGAATCATTGGCAAATAAAAGTCACTATGTGGAACGCTCGCTAAACTGGTGATTTGATGTGGTTTGAATCGTGAGTTGGCGTACACTGGCACATGAACAACAAAA